GGAACATGTTCCTAAAAATGTGCAGATGGCTTTAGAATTGGGTAAGGAACAGAAATTGGAAGAGTTTGAAGGCACATGATAGGGAAAGCCTGGATTGCCTAGAACAGACTGTTGGCCAAGACAGGGATATCAGACTCTGCCAGCGAGGACTCAGTGAGAAGCACAGTGGAAAAAGCCGAGATTGTCTTGGAGAAAAAGTAAGCTGTCATAAGCATAATGTTGGTAGAAATATTAAAGGTGCTACCGGTTAGGACTGAGAAGAAGGTAAGGCATATGCCTTCGGAAATTGGAGGAAAGGCAATGCCTGTTATGTAGTCAGCAGTAAAGGTAGTGGAATTTGGTTCTATGGATGTGTGGAGGGCAACACTTACAAGGGATGGACTTGGTTATTTCCAGAGCAGATTTATGTATTGAAGGGATGGCCTGGTTTCTTCTTGCTGCTTATAGTAAAACGTGAGTGGAAACAGGTATATTGAAGGAAAAATTTCTTAAACAAAAAGGAAACCAGACTTGATGATTTGGGAACTTCTCATCTTGTCCAGATTGCAAAAGATGGTAAAATTAGGAGACCCACACACAGTTGGGAAACGACACTGTGGAGAGAAAGAAGCCAAAGAGTGAGACACACTCACTGGAAAGGAAATCCTTTCACTAGTGCTACAGAAACTAGGTGCCTGATTCATGGGTTTCTTTAACCACCTCAGCAGAAGCCAGCAATAGGGATGGACTGTTCAGGAAAGATCTGTGGTGGCTCCTCCATCTAATGGCATGAATCTTGTGACTGCACAGGAGACCACAAGGTTTTTGAGAACATGAGCAGAAATACTGCTGACCTGATCTGAAAGGGACAGAGGTGGATGAAATGGAGGAAGGCTGTTGGAATCCCAAAATTTACAGGCAAGAAACAGCCTACTAAAACTGCTCAGCTGCAAACATGTTCTACTTTTCCGAAAACAAAAAACCAAGCCCAAGAATGACTCTGGCCCCATGTTGGAGCTGTAAACTACAGGGGATTATTTCTCGGCCTTGAAACCCAATGCAGTCTCCCCTGCTGGATTTTGAAATTACTTAGGGCTGTTGACTTATTCCTGGCCTTCCTCCCTTCTAGTTTATCCCTTTTGGAAGGGGAACATCTGTAACTGTGGTTAAGGTCCAAAACCCTTGTATTTTGGAAGCAGGTGACACAGGCCCCCGATAGAGAGGAATTTTGCCCCAGTGTGGATCATAGCCAGAGTGGCTCCATATACCTGATGTAGAGGAGCACATTTGGGATTTTTGAGCTGATGAGATACAGATGAGGTTTTGAACTTGGAGTTGATGCTGTAATGGGCTGAGACTTGAGCTGATGTTGGGATATGGTGAAGGTATTTGGCATGTGAGAGAGACATGCATCTTTGGCACCAGAGGGTAGACTGCAGGAGGCTGAGTAACGTCTCTCCCCCACCCAAAAAGAGATGCACGTGTCCTCATCTCTAGAACCCGTGAATTGTCTTTTATGGAGAAAAGGACTTTGAAGATGTGAAAAAGTGAAGATGGGGAAATTAATCTTTATTATTTGAGAGGGTCCTAAATGTAATCATTATAAGCATGAAGCAGAGGGAGATCAGACAGAAGAGGAGAAGGTAGTGTGACCACAGGGGCGGAGACTGAAGTGATGCTCTCATAAGCCACTGAATGCCAGCAGCCACCAGAAATGGGAAGAGGCAAGGGGCGGGTTCTCCCGTGGAGCCTCTGGAGGGAGGCTGACAGCTTTGATTTTGGCCCAGTGATTCTGATGTTGGACTTCTTGCCTCCAGAACTGCGGACGGGTAAATGGAGGCTGTCGTAAGTGGCTGTGTGGAGACTCGTTGCAGCAGCTGTGCAAAACTAACACAGACATGGGGGAAATTGTAGGTTCTCTGCTTCTCTGTGTACTCTTGTATTCTGTTTGAATATGAGCCATCCTTAAGATGACTGGTAGACTGTGTAACCATCTGGCTTTTATATTAGAAACTTCTACTACTCCCTCTATTTTAAAACAGTAACCTCTTTGAAGCAGAATAGCATTACATAAACTGAGAACACTGGTTAAGAAAAAACACAAGGCTTGACTTGGGCTCTCAGCTATGCTGCATGCTAGCTGGCTGTCCCTGGCTAAATCACTTAACCAATCGGAGGTTCAGTGGAACAATGGTAATGTTATTTATGGTCCTTCCTGAACCGTATAGTTGTTAACAAGTAGTTAATGAAACAGGTGTATGGGAAAGATACCAGGTAAATATCATGTTGACCGGTTAATTATATTCCTTCTAGCTATATCAAAGTTATGATGAGCAGTTTTGCACAGAAATCAGTGACCATATTAAATATGATCCCCCCTGGAATTCGATGATATCAGAGAGATTTTGGGTTCAAATTTTTTTGAATACTTTAAGCTTTTGATACTTACAGATCTCTTTCTCTCCAGAAAGGTTATACCACTTAACTGTCTCATTAGAGGCCCACAAGTGTTCCTTTTGCTGCCCGGTAACCTCAGACAGCTTTTAAACATCAGTTTAAAATGGTATGTCTACCTGATGAAAATAGTTTGTATATCTTTGGTGAGGTTTAACTTTTTTAAGTTTTTTTTTGTGTGTGTGTGTGTGTGTTTTAAGATTTTATTTATTTATTTGACAGACAGAGATCACAAGTAGGCAGAGAGGCAGGCAGAGAGAGAGGGGGAAGCAGGCTTCCTGTTGAGCAGAGAGCCAGATGCTGGGCTGGATCCCAGGACCCTGGGATCATGACCAGAGCTGAAGGCAGAGGATTTAACCCACTGAGCCAACCAGGCACCCCAACTTTTTAAAGTTTATTAATCTTTAATGAATTGCTTCTGTTCTTTGATCATATTTCAAGCAGTTATTTGTTCTCTTCTGGGCTGGTTTTTAGAAACCCAGCATTTGTTAAGTTAATTATCTTTGCTGTATTTTTGTTTCTTCACCAGTTTGTTCTGTTGTTTACCTTTTGCTTTGTGATGACTTTTGTGTTTAACCTTTGTGTGTAGTTAAATTTAGTGAACTTTTATTGCTTTCCTTTCTCCCTCCCTTCTTTTCTCCCTCCTTACATCGTTCCCTCTAGAAAGTCTTTCCTATTTGACTGCTTTTATTGTTTTTTTTTTTTGTTTTGTTTTTGGTTTTTTTTTTTTTTTTTAGGTATGTAGATTTGCCCTTAACGGACAGTAAGACATATTTGAAATCCAGGATCCTGTCAACTTAATCTCAGATTTCCTGTTGTCAAGCTTGGTTAAAAGTTTGAATGGAAAAAATAATATTCATAGAAGATTGCCTGGAGGGTATACTAAATTTTATTTCTGGGGGAGTGCCTAAATGCAGCATAACACCTTTGCTTCTAGCCTGATAATTCCATCTTCTCTAACTTAAGACCCCTTCTCATTTTATCTTAAGTATATGCAGAAATGGAAGCAGAAGAAACAGAGACTCAAATGGTTTGTGCCTTACCACATCACCATTAACTCCTTTCTATGTCATCCTCTCTACCCTCACTATCCTTAGTAAGGATAATAATTCAACCATTTGTCAAGTGCTAACGCAGTGTAGCTTAACGTGTCTAACATTTTACATGTGTTATTACTTACTTTCCACAACAACCATACAAGGTAGAAAATACTTTTTTTTTTTTTTAAGATTTTATTTATTTATTTATTTATTTGACACAGAGAGACAGTGAGAGAGGGAACACAAGCAGGGGGAGTGGAAGAGGGAGAAGCAGGCTTCCGCAGAACAGGGAGCCCGACATGGAGCTCGATCCCAGGACCCTGGGATCATGACCTGAGCTGAAGGCAGATGCTTAACAACTGAGTTACCCACCCAGTTGCCCCAGAAATATTATTATTTTCATTTTCCTAATGACAATTGGATGCTTTGAGAGGTTAAGTGGCTTGCCCAGTATCACATAAATTGTATTTGGTGTAATGGGAGTGTGAATTCAAATGCAGACCTTTCTGATTTCAGAGCTCATTTCTTAACTGCTAATGTTTCCACGTGTATGCATGTGCAAAGACTCACGTGCACACGCACATACACACGCGCACACACATACATACCTTCTCATTTTATGCACCTGATTTCCCGATGTTGATAGGATTTGATATTTCTGTTCTTTTTGGTCACTGATCCAGTAAGGGAGGTAAAATAGAGTGGATGAATCCAGACGGCAACATCTAGGATATTAAACTGAATAAATAAGATACTGGATTGAAAATATTTGGACGAAGATTTAGAATTTCTTTTATTCTTAAAATGCTCCAGTGGTGGTGTGTCCGTGTTCACCCTCGGTCCAAGCATCTCACACATGTAATGTGCTCAGATCAGGGGAGGTCACTGTGAAAATTTCAAAGCGTCCAGAGGCTAGAGATAAGTGGGTTGGTCTTAATTTGGCATCTGTAATAAATGTCTCTTTTATAGTCAGTGATTGATGGCAGTCTGCTGTGGTGGATGTGTCTGGGAAAGGTGCTTAAAAAAGTGCTCATCCTTTACTAGTGTTTGGGTGATTAATTATTATACCTGCTGTAACTTTTAAACAGAGTGAGAATTAGGTCAGTGAGAATAGTTCTTTCTTTGAAAAACTGGGGACAGTGATGGCATTCAGTTTCCAAGGATTATTTAGCTCTTAGAATCCTATCTATCAATTATTTGGAGCTTAAAATGTCTGCAAGAGGAAGAGGGAAGTGTAGCCTTTTCGGAGAGGTGAGACCAAAGGTCACTGGTCATAGCCGGGGCGCATTGACCGTCCCCTCATCCTATCCTCAGTGCCAACTCACTGCCTGGCCTGATAGTTTTCGAGAAAACAAAACAAAATAAAGCACAAAGCCCTGCTTGGTATGAATGGAAGAGGGTAAGAATGAGAGCCAAGCAGAGGACAGTTTGCAGTCGGGCTTGCACGCAGGCTGGGACTGATGGAAAAGCACAGTTGTCCCATGAAAACTGGCTCGAATAACAGCTTGTTTCTGTGGTTGTTTGCAGAACGACTACCACTTTGAATACACGGAGTGTGACAGCAGCGGCTCCAGGTGGAGAGTGGCCATCCCGAACTCCGCAGCCGACTGCTCGGGCCTGCCTGACCCCGTGAGAGGCAAAGAATGCAGTACGTTTTGACGTTTGCACCATTCCTTCCCTCACTAAACTGCATCCCTTCAGCCCAAGAAGTGAATGAAAATGAATATAAGCAATTTTGGGGAAAAGGAACATAGAGCATTGGTGTCTAGCAGAGCAAGAGCTTCTTCTTAACCCTCGGCGCCCTGATGTCTGAAGTCTGTAATGAGCACAGGCAGAATTAGAGGATGCTATGTTTGTTTGTTTGTTTGTTTGTTTATTTATTTATTTAAAAAATCCATTTAAAATTGGGTTTACCGTCTCAGTTGAAACTCTATAGGGCAGAGTGGCAGAATCTCTTTTTAATGGATTTTTTTCTTTACATTTTAAGAAAGTTTCAAAAACTTTGGGAAAATATATATAACATAAAATGTACCATTTCAGCCCTTTTTAAGGGTAGAGTTCAGCAGCATGAAGTGCTTTCGCATTGTTGTGCTATCATCACCGACACCCATGCACAGAACTCCACTGTTTAGCAATGGGTTTCTTTTTTTAAGCCTAAGAGATTATGCAATTTATCTTTTTAGTGTAACCTCCAGAGAGATGGTAGAATTGATGAATATTGCATCGAGCAGCTTGTCTGAGCGATAAACTGGTTGGGAGACCAACATTGTGAGTGAATAGAGAAATAGGTTATTACATTGGTCTTCATTTATAAACTCCACTTTTTAAAATCCTTTCATTTGGTAAGCTACAGGTTCCTTCAGTGAAGTAGTCTTGGGGCAGACTGGAGTTCAAAGCTGAAAGTAAGACAACGAGAGATTTTGTGTTTCCTGCTATTTCTCAAATGGTCTTCGTAAAATCTTACTTTTAACTGTTTCCAAATAAAAGAGCAGATAAGCAAATTATTAAATGGTGGTTAATTCCTTCCCATTCATAGAATGTGTCTCACTTACCAGTGAGAGAAGTATTAGCATAGGTGGTGGGTTTACTGAAAAAAGGGAGATAGGAAGGTGGAAGATGTCTCATGGGGAAAATTAGTGGAGAAAACCATTATTTTTAGTAAATGATACTAAATGAGTAGAGAGAGAACCTGGGATCCTTGAAGCCAGGTTAAGTGTTCAGTCCAGCAAGACACAAGAGGATAGTGGGGTCAGATAGGAATAAGATGATACGACCTGGGGTGTTCCCAGCCACCTGTGCAGAAAGTGCGTCAGCTCTCAGTAAGGGAGGATTTGTGCGGGAAATGGAAACAGTCTTAAAAATAGCTATGGAGTTAGCGTGTTGTAAAATGCTTCAGTTACTTTCCTAGAAAATCCGTGTATTTTTTTAGTCTCTATTTACTTTTTACTTGTGGGGTAATACCTTGGTTCCCTTGTAAACAACCCTGGGGGCGGGGGTAGACTACCTAACCATCATAAACCCTACTCCTTATGCAGGGATTGTGCTGGCCAACATTGGCTTTTGAAAGCTGATTATTAGTTGGAAATGGGCCTGGGCGGAGTATTTGACACCATGGAAATTGGCAAACACTACAAATCACATGCCTCTTCCACTGAGAGCTAGTTGTTAAACATTTATTAGCATACCACTGATTACATTTATTGGCCAAAGGTTCAAATATTTATCATAGAATTGATGCTTAAATAAGAATTATTTCTATTTGAGGATGACCAGGGACATTTTTTTTTTTTGCACGTTATTTACTACAGTCTTCCACAGATAATATTATGAATCTGATACTCCAGCTAGAGCTTTTCTAAAAAATTGACTAGTCATTAAGACTCTAAGTTATTACTTTAAAAATGATACTACTTACTTTAAAAATGATACTGACTTTACAAATGACAATACTTATGTGATGGCTGGGGACATTTTTTATGTTGGTGTTTTGTCTGATATCTGAATTTTCAGTGATTTCCGTGTAATCTGATTATGTCTGCTCTAGAAACTGTTGGTCTGGCCTCTAAAAAGTGACTTCTTTTTGTACGGTAAAGGCAAACAATTATAAATTATTCTATAATGCACAAAAAGCATCACATATCTAAGTAATTTAGAAACTCAGTTAATTCATAGCATTCAACATGGTGTTTACCAAGTTCCTAGCCTTTGAAGTGTTGTAGAAGGCAGTTATGGTAATAACTTGAGTATTTGCTCAGTGGTTCAGATTTTCTATTGCTAATAACAGCTGTCATTTCTCATGCACGGACTATATACTAAACACTAGGGACTGTGCTTAGTCCCATTGTATCCTTACAACAGCCCTCTCAGATAGATATCGGAAGTACCTTACCACAGGTCATAGAGCCAGGATGTGGCAGATCTGGGATTCAAATCCAGACATGCCTGATTCCAGTGCCTGCCTCTTACTTACTGATTTAGACTGCCACTTCTGGATGACAGGCCTTGCAGGGCCCCACATAGGAGATGTAAAGCGCTGTTGGTGGACGTATTCAAGAGAAGACTGTAGACACTCTTGTGCTTCAAGGACAAAGGAGGGTAAGGACATCCTGGTTCAGGAATGGCATGCTTCTTGCAAACCATGCCTGAATGATGCAGGAACTTGGATGGCAAGTGATGCCCCTAGGTGCTAGACTCAGTAGTTATGCCATAACGATATGGTCCAGCAGTTGGGTCACAAAGACAAAATAAAACTATAGTGTATGGCGCTTCAAACGAGTGAGGAATATCTAGGGCAAGGACTGTGTAGGACTTAATTTCCGCATATCTCAATGTCTCTAAATGAAGTCAGACCCAGAGTTTGGCCTTAGTTGAAATTGCTATAGATTTTTCAGAATGTAATTGGGGAGATTTTTTCTTTCTTATCAAAAGGAAGCAGTACAGGCCTTTCCTTAGGAAAAGGCTTATAGGAATGTTGAGGTAGCAGCTATAAATTTTTCAGAAAATTGATGAGCAAGGTATATTATATAATCGTTAATTTAATTTAATTATTTTTTTAAAGATTTTATTTATTTATTTGACAGGGATCACAAGTAGGCAGAGAGGCAGGCAGAGAGAGAGAGAGGGAAGCAGGCTCCCCACTGAGCAGAGAGCCTGAAGCGGGGCTTGATTCCAGGACCCTGAGACCATGACCTGAGCCGAAGGCAGAGGCTTAACCCACTGAGCCACCCAGGTGCCCCTATAATCGTTAATTTTAAAAAAGCATATAAAATCTGGCTGCAAGGCTTCTCTAAGTGAAGTTAGTGGAGTTCGTGTTGTGCTAGAATCCTGGATGGGTTGTGAGCAGGAAGCTTATAAGGCTCAGGAAATGGGATGGAGAGGCCTCTGGTAATTAATTGACACTTGTCCCCATAGTGCTTCTGTCCCCTCTGCTGTGGAAAGCTCCTTAGTCTCTTAGGTAGTACTGCTCTAAGGGCAGGCCACTGAGATGCCTCATATTCAGTCCTCTGTCTGGTAATTCCAGGCTTAGCTCCAGAGAACGTTGCTCCTTCTCCAAAGCCCTGGTGCCAAGTGTCTTGTGTTTGTGGGTATCACCATCGTGTGAGGTCTCGGCATCGCTCAGAGACTGCTTGCAGATAGCATGCCATTCTGAACTACAACAGTCCTTGTCTTTCCCCAGAACAAGAGGATATAACCCCTATCCCTAATCTGTCTCTTCTCCACTGTTGGGCCATTTCCCTAAAATTTTCCCTTGACCCTCTGGGGTCTGCTTGACCTTCTTAGATCATCAAAAACAAGTCTTTTGGAATGCTTCCCTAGGTGGAGATACCTTCTCTCTTATCCCTCCTCTCTTCCTTCCTTCCTTCCTTCCCTCCCTGTCCCTCTCTCCTCCTTTTTCTCTATCGCTATCTCCCTGGAGAAAAGGCCATTTTGTTTAGAATCAAATCAAACCTTAGAAATAAGAGCCAGGGTGTACCTGGGTGGCTCAGTCCCTTAAGCATATCACTGATGAGTTCAGCTCAGATCACGATCTCAGGGTCATGGGATCAGGCCCCACATTAGGCTCTGAGCTCAGTGCATGGGGTCTGCTTGTCCTTCTCCCCCTGCTCTTCCCCCTGTTTTCTCTCCCTCTCTCTCTCTCTCTCTCTCTCATAAATAAATAAATAGATAAATATTTTTTTTTTTTTAAAGGAGGAAAGAGAAAAGCCTGGCCAATGAGAGTAGGGTGAGAATTCCTCTACCTATTTCTTTACATTCTTTTAGACAAATCTAGAGCCCTGAGGGGGGAAATGAACACAATGAGGTATCTCTTCCTCTTGGGAGTTATCTTCTATCGCTTACTCCCTCAAATGGTAGTAATTGTGTAACTTTGAGTACAACCATAACACACTTTTCTAATTGCGGATGACTATTTCAGATAGCTGTGATTCCTTTTGATAGGTTGTCATCAAATTGGTTATAGTCTTGTGGGCATTTTTTTCTTCTACTTTCATATTTATATGAAGTTCTAATATTTGGTTTTCTTGGATCAAAAAGTGCTAAGGTACAAAGTAGGAAAAACTTGAATATAAGTTTTTTTTTTTTCCTGTTTCTTGATTTCTCTCACATCTATATTGTTACATATCCAGAAGCAGAGTAACTTAAGATGGTTTGGGTCAATAGATTTTTATTTCAGTTGAGAAGTGAAGGAAGAGGAAGGATTCTCAGGGAGAGAGAGTTGGTTTTAGCTTTGTAAGTGGGAGATAGAGAAATCCAATCCTTGGCGTCATACTCTTGCTAGTATAGGTGTTTTCCTAGGATTCAACTCCTAGTCTGTTTCTGTTTGTAAAAAGTTGTTACTGGGACAGGAGCAAGTGCACATGGGCACCCTGAGTACTTGGCGCTAAGTGCCAGTCACACAGCATGCCATGAGTCTGTTCCATGGAACACTGACCCCAAGAAATACGTCGTGGAAATACTTTATGGAAAAAAGTGTTTCAGAGTTTTCTGTGGTGAAATATGAGAAAGTTTAGAAAGTGGAGAATCCCCTCACAGAGAGATGCAGTGAACATTTTCATTTTAAAGTCTCTGAGAAACCTAATATACACTTATAGAACATTTCCTGTGTGTTAAGGGCATCCTGTTTTACTCACAGTTTGCCAAGTTTAGTTG